TATATACATCTATATGTGGTAATATTATTGTTCTTTATTTATTATTGTTTTAGTATTTATTACACTAAAAGTATTTGATTATGATTAAACGTTATTTCGCGCCGTATCACTTCTTTTTTCATCGTTTCATCGCAAAGTAAACATGTCTTCTCTCTTGCTTGTTTCGCACGCAAACCCTTATTTTATAAAAGTCAGCTGTTTCCTCAACAGTAGGGCAGAGTTGCATTTATTCTTTTCCCATAATCGGCCAATCCTGATAGACATTCGTCTCGAATGACCCCTTTTCGCCATCATCTTCTTCGTATGTGCTCATATATTTGGAGCAAGTGGTTGTATTTCTCGGTCCTTCCTTTATACCAATCTTGGATACATCGTAAGTATCGTTAGGTTTTACATTTATTATTTCGTATGGACCTAAGTATTTTGGTTTGAAGCCAGTGCCAAACTGAGTCCGTTTGATTGCTTCCATGTCGCCTTTTTTGTACTTGACAGCTGGTTTACGTCGAGAGTCAAAATCTTTATGATTTTCAGCTTGCACCTTTAGGATTTGCGGCTTAGCTGCTTCTCGTAATTCTGTTCGTTCGCTTTCGAAAGTATATACAATTTCCTTATCGAGTAACTCTTTACTGCGATGGTACGCATTTGTACTTCAAACATTAGTTGAAACGGCGTTGTGTTGATACTTCGGCAAAATGTTGAGTTTATCACTTGCATGATCTATGCGCCGGTACCACTTACTTCGATCGTCAGAGCTCAGCTTTGAAATTATTATGATACTATTTAAACGCTCGACTTGACCATTCACTCTTGGTAAGCCGGTAACACCTAAAACATGTTGTATACTTTGCTCGTCACAGTACTGACAAAATTCTCCGGAACTGAATGCTGGGTCTCTGTTAGAAATAATGCGATATGGATTTCCAAATGTCGTACTTTGAAGCTTGAGTTTTTGCAAAAGTTCTTGAGTTGTTGGATATTGACTTCGTCGGATATAGCCAACAGAATTTCGTATATGCGTCGATGACTGCAAAAATGTGTTTATACTGCTTACTAGTACCTTCAAGTCGACCAAGGTGATCAACGTGGTACGTATAAAGTGGGGATTCTTCTTTTGGAAGCGGATGCAACAATCCATCCAGTTTGCCACGCTTGCGATTGAAAATGATGCACTGAATACAATTTGAGATATGATTCTGTATTTTTTCTTCTAGTTTCGGAATATAATAATCTTTTTCAATTATTTCTTTGCTTTTGCGTATTTTAAAATGACCACGTTTATATGCTTTTCTGATGATTTCTCGCTGTATATTCTGTATTATATTCGCTGCATATAACGAGAAGTTCATCGTTATTAGTTATCTTGAATAACACGCCTCGTTTCAAGAAAAAGTTTTTATACGGCATTTCCTTTTCGAGCATTTCCGAAACTTTACTTAACTCCTCGTCTTGCATTTGGCATTTTTGTACCCTTCTTAACAAATCATCTTCTATGGATAAAACATCATATCGGCTTAGAGCGTCTACATGTTTCATAAGCGATCCACTTCGATGCGTAACCTAGTTATCATATTCTTGCAATAGGAGCACCCATAAAGGCTATCCTTTAAACACTTATACTATCTAGCACATAAACTAGTAGTTTTATACTTGAACTTTTAAACAGACTAGCACTTGAGCTGTTACCATGCGTGATGAAAAGAGAGATTCTTGTTTCAAATCTGATTATTTATTATTGATATTTCTTTTTTTATACAAAATTACAATAAGTGAAATTGATATGTCATTAGAATATAACATACAATAAAATTACAATAAGTGAAATGAAAACAAAACATGCATTAATTTGCAGCATAGGTACAATACAAAAAAACTAAACAATTAACATATTAACAAAAACTGTATTAATTTACAAAATATTACTGAATAAGGTCAAATATGGTACTTTTGTTAGTGCACTGACCACGAAGAAGCTGATATTCCAACATTGCACTTTTGGTAATCAATGACTGACAAAGCGTTGGCCTAGAAACAAAACAAATAGCACTTGAATTGTGCAATCAATATTTGTTACAACATATAAATAAAAATACAAATAAAAATACGACTATTAATATTAAAAATAATAAATAATATGATAATATAAAAACTAAGGCTGAAGTATCCGTTGAGTCCGAGAAAACTTTCAAGTTGTTTAAGATTTTGCGGCATTTTGTATCTTATAAGCGCTTCAATTTTGGATGATGATGGTGAGATCATTTGATTTTCGATCACATGACCCAGAAATTCAACTTATTTCTTTAGAAAGAGACATTTTTTAAAGTTTATTTCAAGCCCGTAATCTTAGCACATATTGAAAACTCTAGATTATTTATTGATTCTTTTTCATTGCTTGCTGGAATGATAATGTAAAGGTAAGATAAAGCAACGCCTCGTCGTGGCATATCTCTAAAAATGGCATTCATATGTCGCTGAAAAACGCCAGGTGAATTTGATAGTCCGAAAGCTACTTTCAAAAATTGATAATTCGTAACCCATTATCAACGCAACGTCAACGTAAAAAAATACGTTTTGAAATCGATTGTACTGAATATTTTCGCGTCTTGTAATCGGTCAACTGCAATGCATTATGAGCGTGACTGCCCATACAAAAATAATAAATGCGAAGACTGTCACTACATAGGCCATAGAAAAGGTTATTGCAAATCGAAAAATTCATCAAAATCAAAATACAATAACAACAACAAAAATAATAGCAATGGTAAAGCAAAAACATTTTCACACAGCATCACAGCTTCTCATCGTAAATATGTTCACGTTAAAATCAACAATGTGCGAATCAAATTGCAATTTGATACTGCATCGGACAATTACGATCAATTACTCTGACTGGGCCGCACCAATCGTAGTTATCAAAAAGTAGCATTCAAAAATGGTAGCATTCGTATTTGCGCTGATTTCTCAACTGGTCTTAACGACGCGCTTGAATCTTACAAGTATCCACTACCGCTTCCAGAGGATATTTTTGCAAAAATTAGCAATGCAACAGTATTTAGTCATATAGACCTTTCGGACGCTTTTCTCCAAATCGAAATTGATATCGAAATCCCAGGAACTTCTCACAATAAACACGCATCTAGGTTTATTTAAATACAAGCGTATGGTTTTTGGCGTCAAAACTTTTCCGGCAATTTTCCAACAAATTATGGATAAAATGCTTGCGGGCTTACATTGCGCAGCTGGTTACATTGACGATATCTTTGTCTCAGGTAGAAACCAACAAGAGCATGACAACAACTTACATGAAGTTCTACAACGTATCTATCAATACGGGTTTAAACTCAAGATCGCAAAATGCAATTTTTTAGTTCCTGAAATTGCTTACTTGGGATATATTGTCAGTAAAGACGGCATTCGTACAGATCCAAAAAATATTGAAGCAATCAAGACAATGCCTGCGCCAACCAATCAATCCGAACTTAGATCACTCTTAGGTGCTATCAATTTTTATGGAAAATTCATAAATCACATGCGCAAATACCGAGGACCATTAGACGAACTACTTCAAAACAACAAGCAGTGGCAATGGACGGAACTTCATCAACGCTGTTTGGATGGTTTCAAGCTAATTTTGTCATCAGAGTTATTATTAGCGCATTACGATCCACTGAAAAACATAGTAGTCGCTGCAGATGCATATAGCTATGGGCTTGGAGCTTGCATTTTTCATGAATCTGACGACGGTTCAATGAAAGTAATATGTCATGCGTCCAGATCACTAACGCCCACAGAAAAACAATATAGCCAAATAGAAAAAGAAGCTCTTGCGCTTATTTTCGCTGTTACGAAATTTCACAGAATGGTTTTTGGGAGAAGATTCAAACTTCAAACAGATCATAAGCCTCTTCTAGCTATATTTGGTGATAAAACGGGAATTAAGGTGCATCAAGCAAACAGACTTCAACGTTGGGCAATTAAACTGATTGCATACGACTTCGGATTAAAGTTTATTTCAACTAACAGTTTTGGGTATGCAGACGTTTTATCACGACTCATACATAACACAATCAATCCTTCAGAAGACTATGTCATCGCTGCAGTAGAGTCTGAAATTGAAAGCAAACAAATTTTACATAACTCACTTGATAAGCTACCGCTTACCAGCAAAATGATTACTTACGAAACAGCTAAGGACAAGGTTTTAGCTAAAATTTTCGAATATGTAACTGAAGGATGGCCATCAAACTGCAACAACAGTGAGTTAAAAGCTTACTTTAACCGAAACGACATATGTATAGTTGACGGATGTTTAATGTTCGGACAACGCATTATTATACCTCAAATTTTCCGAAAGCGTATTCGTAAAGAAATTCACCGTGGTCATCAAGGCATAGGTCGTACTAAAGCCATCGCGCGGAACTACGTTTATTGGTCAAATATCGATTACGATATTGAAGCAATGGTGAAAAGTTGTTCAAATTATGCCGCAGCAGCTAAAATCCCCATAAAAACAACTTTACATCCTTGGCCAAAACCTTCTGATTCTTGGGAACGGCTCCATATTGATTATTCAGGACCAATAGATTCATACTACTATTTGGTCGTAATCGAAGCGTTCTCAAAATGGCCAGAAATTATACAAACAAAATCTATAACAGCAACTCAAACAATTTCCAGCTTGAAAGAAATTTTCGCTAGATTTTGGTTACCGAAGACAATAGTTTCAGACAATGGTACGAATATACGAAGCAGTCCGTATTATCCCATATCAAATGAACAAGCCGAAAGGTTTGTGGATACTTTAAAGCAAGCGCTCAAAAAGTTAAATGGGAAGGGGGTAACTGCTGTAAATCTTCAAATATTTCCACAAGTTTACCGATCAACTCCGAATAAGCAAAAGAGAACAGTAAATCGGCAGCTGAAGTTTTACTAAAAAGAAATATCCGTAGTAAACTTGACTTGATTAAAGATATCGCCAACGAAAAGTGTTTAGTTGATGCATTTGGCCTCTACGAAACAACACAAAGATGTGGTCGAAATAACTAACAGAAATATGGTTTCGACCCCAGCTCAATCTTTCAACGAAGTAACCGAGATTGCAATTCCTCAAACTGAGAAGCACAATGAGGCAGTTGTTCCGTATACCCAACCAAGGCGTACTAGACATCCTATTGACCGTTATGGACCCTAGAATCACCGCATTGGAGATTCAATCTCAAAAGGTTAGGTGTTGGCAACCCTGCCAAGGATGACAGATGACATATAAAGAAGAATTAACATTTTAGTTTTGTCAGTTATTTTGAACTTGTGAAATAATAATAACTAGGAGTTTTTTGTAGAAATAAATATCGAAATTATACAGATATAACAATAAGTTTATGCTCTTTTTCTTTAATAAGCATGCTTGCCGACTCTTCTATATCGAACATCACATCTGTGGGGCATTCTACGTCAATTTCTTATAAAACTTTATACTTTTATCAAGTGTTGTTACTTCTTAATAAAAACATCAGTAGAATCAATTTTGATTTGGGCTTTGTAACAAATATCTTCACCAATTATGATGGGAATGTCAATGCAATTTGTTGACACCACATAAAAGGCTAGTTTGAAGTTCTGATCATCGATTACGCACTCAACGTTTATTTTTTCGTAGGGTTTTATTTTGTTTTCATCTTTCTTCTGTCCAAAAGCTACTTCATGACTTTTAAAGTTGCTAAAACAAAAGAAATTAACAAAATAATCAGTCATGTCTAAATCAAATACATTGTGTTGGACAAAATGTTGCAAATGTATGGCAAGGTGCACGTCTCAATTCAGAATTCGAGTAGGATATCAAAACAAATAAATATTATTTATTATAATATTAAAAATATGATTATAAATATTGTTATAATAAATAAAAGTATTTCATAAAAAAAGTAAGTATGTGATTTTTCGACAAAACATATTCGTATACCTGACAATAATAAACCGGACGGAACTGGATAGGACGGCAATAGCGTGCTGAAGAAAGAATTGGGTTGGGCCATATCACTTTCTGAGTGTTTGATAATATTAGTTGCAGTGGTGCCAACGAACTTAGAAAAAAATACTCGTATCTAAATCCAACTTATTGTCAAATTTTTGCTTGTATTAAGATTGCTGTGATCCATCACCCCAGTTACAAACGAGTGCTAAGTTTTTTAAATCATTCTATCCTAATGACTTAATCACTTCTTCAAGGTATTACAATAGTCTTGTTGCTGTATGATCCAAAAATGTTGTGAATTGATTTCAGCACAAGTAGCAGTGATTTTGTATGCTGAACTTAATATATGAAAGTCTTTTTTGGCCTTTTGGATTAGAGTATAGCAGGGATATAACTTTTTATTACTTTGTCTTACTATTTCATATTGCCTACGAGACAAGTTTGCTTCAATAAACATTGAAAGAGCCTCTAACGTCGACATGGTTTTTTTTTTGATTTTCGTTGTAAGCTTGTTTATATTTGTAAGCACGATTTGGTGAATTAGTAATTTTTTTGAAAACTTGAGAAGCATCTCGCATTTCAACTTGGTACAATTTCATTTGGGTGACTGTAGTAAGATCTTTTGTATCATTATTACATAATTGTTCAGCTTTTCGTCGTTTGCTTCTATCGCTGGACTATTCAAAAGGTTTCAGTGGTCGTGTCATATTCAACAATATTAATAATTATTTTAAATATATAAAGTTGGAAACTCTAGCCTGTAAGTAGTTTAAGTAAATATTGTATAATGTAAAAAAATAAAGTTAGTTGATTAAGATAACTCAAACAAAACAGTGGCGACGAGGATTATAAAAAAAAAAAATTTACCTAAAATGGACGTAGCTGCTTTAAAGGAATTGCTTAAACAGCAACAAGAGTCTACAAATAAAATGCTGGAGGATCAGCGAGCATTCTTCAAACAAATTTTATTACAACAGACTGCAGATGGACAGAGTGTTAATGTGCCTGCATTTCATGCTTTTAATAAGCAATTGCATAAGTGGGAGACATATCTGGAGCAACTGCATCAACATTTTTCGGCTTATTCCGTAAAAAAGGAGAGATTCAAGTCATTTTTTCTGACCTGGGTAGGCACAGAAACATATGATATATTACGCAGCAATTTTGGTGCAAGTGAAATGAAAAGCAATACATTCGAAGACTTGACGCAATTCTTAACCGAATTTTTTCAATCTAAAACACATGTAGTTGCTGCCAGACATGAGTTCCACAAAACAACAATGTCTACAAGCCAGACTTACAGAGAATGGATAACGGATTTGCGAAAAATCGCTCGTGAGTGCAAATTTATTTGCAGCGCGCCAAAATGTGGACATGATTATACAGAAGAAATAATACGAGACAAAGTGATTGTACACACTCCAAAGACATATTGCTTCTGTTTGTATGTCAGTTAATAATATTGTAAATAATTTAGAACAACAAAAAACAAGTGCACAAAATAATTTTATTTCACAAATAGATTCGGTTTTGAGTGTTAATAATTTACCGCATCAAGAAAATAAAAAAGTTTTTATTGACGTTTTAATAGATAATACTCAAATAAAATTTCAAATGGATTCTGGAGCAACTGTTTCGTTGTTGACACTAGATGCTTATGAACAATTAAATAAACCAAAGTGTTGTCCATGTAGAAAAGAATTATTTGATTATGGCAAGAACCGAGAAAAAACACTTGGAAAGTTTAGTGCCGAATTAAAGTGTGGTGAAACAAAGAGAACAGCAACTTTAGTGGTAGTATGCATTCGTAATGGACATAATTTATTTGGCACTGACCTTTTTGAAAAATTTGGATTTGAAATTCGCCAAATTGCTTCCATAAGCAATGATTCACAATTAACGGAGTTATTAATGAGAATTAAAATTGTTTTTGAACCTGGTTTAGGTACAATTAAGCAGGTTAAAAAAAAAATACATTCAAAATCAGACGCAGTGGCTAAGTTTGGTAAAAGTCAACCTATTCCATTCGCTCAAATAAATCAATTTAAAATAGAAGCGCAACGCTTGACTGATAGTGGTATTTGGAAACCAATAAAATTTAGTGAGTGGGCTTCGCCAATTGTATTGGTTACAAAACCAGATGGCTCTCTTCGTATTTGCGGCGATTTCAAAACAACAGTGAACAAACAAATCGATGTCGATCAATATCCATTACCAACGCGAGAAAGCTTACTTCATATTGTCCGATATGGAAAATATTTTTCTAAAATCGACCTGAAGGATGCCTACCTGCATCCTTCAGGTTTTAGCAGTCAATACACCACTAGGGCTTTTCCAATATCAGCGGCTTCCTTATGGAATTGCCAGCGCGCCTGCTATATTTCAAAAACATTTAGAGCAACTTATATTAGGTGTAGAAGGATGTGGTAATTATATTGATGATATAATCATCGCGGCTGAAACGGTGGACCTACATCGTCAACGCTTAGAAAAAATTTTGTCAATTTTGATTGAGAACGGTATTCGTTGCAAACAAAAAAAATATGAATTTTTAGTGGAAAAACTGGAATATTTAGGTAGAACAATTAGTGCAAATGGTATTTTACCTGATGAAAAAGGTGTTCACGCTGTAAAAAAGTTGCCACGCCCAACAAACATTAAAGAAGTCGAAGCATTTCTGGGTAAAGTGAATTATTACCATAACTTTATTCCAAATTTTTCGCAATTGGCCGCGCCTATCAATCATTTACGTCGGAAGAACATCAAATTTGTTTGGGGCACTAAGCAGGAACAAGCATTTGAAGCTTTAAAACGACACATAATAGACGCAACCGAATTATCACATTTTCAAGAACATCTACCATTAGTCTTAGCTACTGACGCCTCATCATATGGAATTGGAGCTGTCCTTGCTCATCGAAATCCAGACGCCCTATTGCTTTCGCATCAAAAACGCTCAACACTCATCAACTTCGATACAGCCAAATCGAAAAAGAGGCACTTTCGATAATATTTGGAGTTACTCGTTTCCATCAGTACTTATTTGGTCATAAATTTATTCTGGTTACGGACCATAAACCTTTAGTAAGCATCTTCAGTCCAAACAAAAATTTGCCATCAATGTCTACACATCGGTTGCAACGTTGGGCAATAACATTGATGTCTTATCAGTTTGAGATACAGTTTCGTAGAACTGCCGATCACTCAAATGCCGATGCCTTATCACGCCTGCCTTGTGGACCAGATCCTGAGTTCGACAGGTTGGAGCATTGTTATCAAATAGAAAATTATGACACACTTATCAACGTCGGATTGCTACAACAGCAGTACAAAGACGATTACATACTAAAACGTGTAAAAAATTTCATTTCGGAAGGGTGGCGGACAAAATTAGCTGATGGCGACATGGATTTGCTTCCTTATTTTCGTCGTAAGTATGCTCTTTTCATTCGAGATGATTTGATTTATTTACAGACAGATGCTACTCGAGTCATTGTACCTCAATCCTTGCATCAGTCAGTTTTAAAGCTTCTCCATGACGGCCATTGGGGCATCGTTAAGATGAAGCAACTCGCTAGGCAACACTGCTGGTGGCCTAATATTGACAACGACATCGAAAAACTTGCTTCACAATGCAGTGTTTGTCAAATTGCGGGTGCAAGTCCGAAACAAAAATACCATGAGTGGCCAAAGCCAGAACGACCATGGCAACGAGTACACATAGATTTTGCTGGCCCAGTGTTCCAGTCTATGTGGCTAATAGTAGTTGATGCTTTCTCACAGTTTCCATTTGTGGTACAGCTTAAAACTATCACCACTATTGACACCATAGCAGCTTTGTCAGCAGTTTTTTCATTAGAAGGACTACCTGAAACTATAGTTAGTGACAATGGACCTCAGCTAACTTCCGACCAGTTCGCTGAATACTGTGCTCGTAATGGCATAAGTCATGTTAAAACAGC